TATCTATCTATCTATCTATCTATCTATCTATCTATCTATCTATCTATCTATCTATCTATCTATCTATCTATCTATCTATCTATCTATCTATCTAATACCATACCAATTGGTTTATCGTGACATGTTATCTAGAGGCATCTTGCCTCTCAGCACTGAGGTCAATTATATATCTCATATCTCATAGCTGCAAGATATCGGAACAATCGCAGGCCTCAGATAAAAGCAGTCCATCTATGCTTTTTATTTTGCTCCATTTCAGGTTTGCAGGAGGGGTTGGAGGCTATCCTAGCTGTTATAGGTTGAGAGCTGAATACATAAGTGGCCTGTCAAGACACCAATCAACCTAGCATGCCTGCCTTTGGAGGAAGCCAGAGTACCCAGAGAGAATCCATGTCCAGGACAGGTGAGCACAGTGCTAACCACAGCACCATCATGCTGACACATTCGATTAAAATCCCCTTAGATACTGCTGTTATGTGCATAAAAACAAAAGTTGAGCCGTTTAGAGACAACTTTTTATTTTACATAAACAAATCTAACACGTGGGTTGTCACTGATTAACGTTCTGTCAATATGATGTTGTGTAATACAGGCATAAAATAATATTTACAATTCCATATAGTGTGCTTTTTGCATATGCTAAAATTTTGTTTTACTGACATCTTTGGGTAGGACTAACTCAGGTGTTGGATGATCATTTTTAAGCCCTATCTTCAATACAATAACGAAAGCTTCTAAGTCATCCAGGACACCGGGGATTACAGTTCACGAAGGGCTGTGTGGTTGTCTAGTAAAAGTTTTCACTCTGCAATAAATTAGAGTTCATGTTTGCTACTTTTCACACTTTTTGAATGTGTTCACAGACAGTTACTCACAAGTGCACTTTAACCCTAAAACCTAAAAAACTTTTTGTTTAAAATATTTAGAGCGGCGTAAACAGGATACTGCACCATGGCATCAGTGAACTCTTGTTTATTTCCTCTTCATAAATCATATTCATTCAACTTCGTTTCCATCTAGACTAGCTCGATGACCAGTGGGTCCCCACCCACAGTTTGACAACCCCTGATTTAGTGAAACCTGTAAAACTTTCCTTCCTCCACAGTCAGACTGGCACAGCTTCATTTTTGTAAATCTTTTTCAATTTTTTAATGACTTTGCTGTTGAAAACAGAAGGACGAGCTGCCACACGGACCGAACCCTGTATGTTAAACTGAGCCTATTTTAGTCTTACTGCTGAGTTGTAGTCTCCAGACACCACTTGTACTAAGGTTTTCCCATGGGCTTGACATAGGTTATAAAGTCCTGTGCATGATTAAACTCCCACACCCACGTTCAGGGACTGAAGCAATAATTCAGGCTTTGACTTTAGTCCCAGTAACTTGAGCTACTCATGTACGTTATTTAAGGTTTTAATTTTGATGTGTCATGTTGAACAGGAAATTCGTATGTTTTGCTTGTCTTTTGGAACATGGTGGAGGTTCTGCAACAGCTGTACTAAGAGAAAGAATCACAAAACAGGTAGTCTACACTTTTTAAAAGCACATTGAAGCAGAGAAGGAGCTTAAACCTTAAAATTTTCAAGCACCAAGCTGAAGCACTGAAAGACTTCACACATATTCATCTAAAAGCTCTTAGGCTAAAGAGCTCTGTTTGTTAGCTCTGTTTGTGACTGACCTGCTGCCTGCCTGGCATGTCTGTCTCTCATCCTTCTCTGCTCTACCTGTCCATTATTCTCCTCCATGGTTGTGTGTAAGTAACAGCTATACAGCGTGTCTTACAGCGGGAGGGAGGGGCGGAGAGGGAGTGAAACACACACAGTTGCGCTGCTTGCTGTGCGCGTCTGTTGGGGAGCGCACCCGTTTGCCGTGGAGGCTCTGTGCACGCCACATTGACAGACTTGCGACTGATGTGCGGATTTTTGCAGATGCCTTCATCCCAACCCTGCTTTTTATGGTGTCGCTGCTCACATTAACGGCCGAGCGACCCTCAGAGCTCAGGAACCCTCACTCCGCGACACTGCCCACTTTTCCTTCTCCTCCCTGTTTGTCCCGCCCAACTCAGAAGTCTAGTTTGATTCAGGACTTTCAGACTTTGAAGCTTCTGATGCACACGAAATGCTTCCAGGACTCTTACAAGTCTGCTGTTAGCCATTTAAAAAAAAAATTCTGATAAATCTTCTGTTTAAAAGTCCGTGGACTGAGACTGAGTGAAGCTACAAGGACACAGCTTCACACTAACGGCACTCAGGATGTGGCAACGTTTTATTTTGACAACAGATGCGATTATTGGTAAGTAATGACCGCAGAAAAAAGACGCGTGTAATGATTATTGGATCAAATAACAAGCACTTCTTCTACAGCTCCCTCGGCGCATCCTTGCGCGCACGCCAGACGGCACACGCTTGGATCCTGGCAGCATGCATAATTGACGACCGAGCGACTAAACGCATCCATTAGAAGTGTCACTCACCTTGCCAACACGCCCATTAAAAAGTCGGTGTCCTGTCCTAATACGAACTTTCTTTATGTGCCCAGGTGAGATTTATTCTGAAGGAACAAGGGTGCTTCATAGACAGCCAGGTCTCAGAGGCACGCCACCCATGAGCTTATATAACAGAGACGTTGAACGGTCAGTCAAATTACTGCGCGATGCTCTAATTAGATGCTGGCCATGCCAGAGTTTACGCTGTCAGAAGTAGGCTGTGTTTCTGCAGTGCCATGTGTTTCTGCTGTTTCTGGTGCAGATCTTGTGAAATTATGTCTCACCCTGTTTTAGAACAAACCCTCGTAGGCAGTGATTCGATCTGAAGTTCTTGGTTAAGGGAAATTGGTGCTGGCTTAGTGACGGGGCTAAGAGCTTGTGGGCTCGCTTTGGGTAGTTCCTCTGGTGATGCTACGCTCTCTCTCAAGTTCACCTCCAGAGCAGCAGAAGTGAATAAACTTCTAGGTCACGTCCAAGAAGTTTGTACCGGTGATGTATCAGAGTTTGGAGGAGGGGAGGATAAGTGGGAGAAAGTGGGATAGAGACAAAGTCAACAGTGCATGTCTCTGATTAATTCTCAGATTTCTACGCTTACATGTGATTCTGGCTTGTGATGGTCATTAGAGAATTGAGTTAGAGCTGGAGAGAAATGTGTGTGGCTGTGTGAGTGTCAAGGGGTCAGTTCAGTTGAAGCTCATATGGCCAAGCCCATGCCATAACCATCCCATCATCATTTTCTTTTTAATCTAACCCTCTCTGTCTCTCTTTAGTGTCTTTAATCGTATTCCTGCAGTTTGTCGAACAGTGCTTTTCCTTCTACGTGCGCAAATTCAGGGTTATTGTGAATGAGGCTGGACGCTGTTACTTAACTGATCTTGTTCCATCACGCTCAGCGCTGCTGGCCCAGCACTGTAGTGTGAGCGGCAGGAGGCGGTTCACACAGGGTTAAAAGCTGGTTTGAGTCCATAGTGTTGGGTTATGATAGCTACCACTGCCTGCTTCAGAGGCCCACATGTGCTTGTTGTACTGGCAGCATTTAATCTATGTAAATTCCTAACAGCGATGGAGCTGCAGGTGGTTTGAGTTTGGTATTTCAGAGAAGAGGGGCATCTGGCTTCCATCAGTATGAGTTGACTGGAGTGACACAAACAGCAGGAACGCAGTCACCTACTGGGCTGTGACTAATTATCATTTACGTTGTTCAATTTAATTCTTTTGTACTTAATAATTTAGTCTTTAACACATTAAAAAAATAGAAATGGGCTGCCATTCACACAAAGTACAGTGTAGGCAATGCCACAATCTTCAAGGTGACATTAACACATAACACACATTGTTTATCTGACCTTCTTATTGTAGCCAAAAAGGTAATAAATTCTCACACTGGAACCACATCGTGTTTATGGTTTCATCTGAATCAATGACTTTAATGATCAGTTACCATAGAAATAGCTTTTGGTTTTGCAATAATATTCACGATCTAAACATTTGACCTCTGCTTGAGGCTTTCTCTCGTTCCTCTCTTTTTTTGTCTATTGACCTTGTGACTCAAGCCAAAGCTCTTTGTTTTCTTCTTTGAACTGCTCCTTTAATGCAGGGACTGCGGCAGCATCACGGCGCTCACACATGATAGGATGCTTGTGAGCCGCGAGAAATAGCCAGAGGGTATTTTGGAGTTCATATGGTTGCTAAACAAAGTTGCCTTTTATGGCCTGTTATTTGATTACAAAGGAGTAAATTAGATGAACGCTGTTTCGAGACCTCTGTTTCGCTGCCCCGCAGAGATTGCAAGGTGTTTTCTGTACGAGTTGATCACATTTCAGTGTCTTTTCACAGTATGTGTGCTGCAGATATGGAAGGAGGAGCTGAAGGACGAGTCAAACACAAACGGGTTTACGTGCTTCACAACTCTTTCAAGGAAATTTGTCTTTTCCTGAGCACATGGAATGCCGCAGTAGAGCAGAGAGGGCAGTTAATTCATTGATGACTGGAATGTCAGAGGATATACTGTAAAGTCTTAAGACATTGCAACTCTGCAGTGAATTTATTAACTTGGCAAGACATAGCGGTGAAACCGGCCATCTCCGTCATTAGCAATATGTCTCCTCCTTCTCCTCCCCCTCCTCCTCCTCCTCCTATACTGACTGTAATATTTGAATCTGAATTAGCGTGCTCCCTGGAGTCTGCAGCAATCAGCACTAATCTGACATAAACTGTCTGCTGGCATGGGCGGACAGATTTCCTGGAGTGGTGAGTGATTATGTTAGCTTATCGTCTGCTTGTCTCTTCTTAGACTCAGTTTGAGCATCCTTATTTGTGTTTTTCACACACATGAATATATCTATAGACTGTGGGATGACAGTTTTCACTTTTCACGCCTGGTGATTTTATTGTGGCAAAGTCACAACCAGGCTGCCATGATAAAAATGTCCTCTTCCAGTGAGAAAGCAGAGACTATATAGTCTTGAGAATTTGCTGTCATCATTTTCGTGGCAATCCAACCACCAAAACGCCACTTGAGGGAATTTGAAGTTGTTTCCAATTCGTTGTGATGAAGAAACTGAGGTCCGCCATGGCCAGTGCTTTATTTATTAATCATATCTTCAGTGCAAATATAGGCTGAAAAACACATGACATGACCATCAGAATCAACAACCCCACCTGGTTGAAAAACTGTGTGGCTTCCTTCTGGCTGTAATTCCCTACACCTGCGCCTCTAATGCCTTCCTTAAAGGGCCAATCTAAAACCTCTGGCAGCATATATAGGTTTTACTTCATTTGTTTGTTTTTTTTCTAGAAATTCATGGATGCCAGGAATGCCAATGTAAGGTTCTCTTTTTTTTTAACTTAATGGTTGCATTTTGATAATATATAGACTAGAATTTATAGATTTATAGAAATTTATAGAATCAAAATCTATCAAGGATAGGTTAGGTTAATTGGATAATCCAAATTGCCACTAGGTGTGAATGTGCGAGTGAATGTGAGTGTGAATGGTTGTCTGTCCCTATGTGTTAGCCCTGCGACAGACTGGCGACCTGTCCAGGGTGTACCCCGCCTTTCGCCCTATGACGGCTGGGATAGGCTCCAGCGCCCCCCGCGACCCTGAAAAGGATAAGCGGAAGCGAATGGATGGATGGATGAAAATCTATCGAATCCACCCTTGATGCAAAAAAGGGAAAGTTTAATCTGTGCAGCAGAAGAAGATGACGTTATATCACAAAGTTCGTGTGCTTTCTTGCATGAAAACAGCAGCTTCATTTGTAGTTACAGAAATATGCCAAAGGAGAAGTCTTTGAGAAATGGTCTGTTTACTCACATGTTTTTCTGATAGGTTGTGGTTACACTGCTATAGCCCACATGTGGAGGATTTCACACGAAGATGACAGCAAACTAACACCTACCTCATGGTTTCCACCTCTGACCTTGTAACAGTGTGCCTGCTGCTCTTCCGCTACTCTCTGAGCACTGTATTCTCAGACTAAAGGGCTGTCTTGATGGTATTTGATGACCAAAAAAAATCAGTGGTGTGGTCATTATTCAAGTTATATAATATACATTACTCATTAATTTTCTTGAAAGTAATTTATAATGTACTTTATTTAACTACTTGCTGGAGAAAGTAAGTGCACTAGTACACTACTCGTTCTCATCACTATATTAGATTACCTGATATGTACTTTCTCAGAGTTAAAAGTTAAAAATATAAACCTTAGGCTACAATCCCACGACACATAACTTTATCCCGATGAGGACATACATATGATCTTTCATTCAGTATTTTCTGCATAGCTGACTGCTCATTACTGCCTTTGTTGAAGTGCACGCTCTGGCTGCTGGGCTGGGGTCGGCATACACTCAGCTCTGGGTTCTTGGCTAGCTTTGCGCTAGCATGCTGTCTGTGAAGTTGCTTGCAAAGAGCTAAAGTCATGCTATCAATATAATGTAGTTGTTTCTGTCCTGGACACAGTTTGTGCTTTATCATCTTGCTCTTGTCCTTTTGTGTCAGAAAAGTGAACGCAATATCCATATCTCCACTTTACATCGCTCAACCATTTCCTCCTCCTCCTGCACACAAACTGAAAGCAGCTGATTATAAGATCAGTTCACTGTTTTTTTGTTTTTTTTCTCTACCCGTCCTGCAAATAACCGAAGAAACTTTGTAACCCAAGTAACGGCACAATTGTATCTGTGATGTGATCACTCCATTCAGCACAGTCGTGCATTAGATTACTGTATTACTGAAAAATGAAATGTGATTACAGTATTTTTGTTTCTTTGCAATGTTGTTACATTGTAATGTGTTACACCTAACACTGCATAGCACATAGGCAAGATTAGACTGTCTCTGAAAGGTGAGTTATACCGACAGGCAGTAAAAAAAAAATGGATGTAGCTACTGTGACATCAAGTCCTGCATTGAAGCCTCAAGTTCAGAGATTCTGCCATCAGCATCTTGTACCCCCCCCCGTTAGCCAATGAGCATGTGCTTTTGTACCACAGATAATCCTTTACACTGCATGACCATAATTTACAAAAAATACTTACCGTACTACTTATATTTATTCAGTATAACCCAAATTCGTTGACTATAAAATAAAACAGTGAATAAACAGAAGTTAAATTGAATGCATTTTTTCTGCGTTGGCTAAGATACGTTGTTAGTCCTGAGACAGACTGGTGATCTGTCCTCTCGCCCGCTGGTAACTGGGATAGACTCCAGCCACTTCACTCTGATAAGTAAGGATAAGTGGAAGAGGATGGATGGCTCTGTTCATATTTTCTAGTTTATACCAATGACACAAAG